ATATTAAAAGACAAAGCTTTTAAGCTTTTTTTTTAAACCTTGTAAGTCATCTTAGCTTTATATTGCACCACGGCCCAATTTGCTGTTTAATCTTAAAACCAAGATTGTGGGTGCCGGAGATCTGAAACAAAAACAGCAATCGCTGGAGAAACTCAACAGGTCTGGCAACATCTGTGGAAAGAAAGCAGAGTTAATGTTTTGAGTCTGGTGATTGAGCTCTGATTTCTTACCACAGGTGGTGCTAGTTTCCACACTTTGAAGTTTTTGCCTTTGATTGATTTGATTTATTATCATGTGTACTGGAGTACAGTGAAAAGTTTTTTGTTTACAAGCAGTAGAGGCAGATCATAGTAAACATGGATGTGCAGATCAAAGGTTGTGAAACACTTAGAGGCAAACAGGTTATAATGCACAGGGCGTACAGGTTATATTGCAGTAGGCAAGATCAACATTAGCAAGATCATTATTGGAGGCTAGAGAATCCATTCATCAGTCTGATAATAGCTGGGAAGAAACTGTTTCTGAACCCGCTGGTGCGTACATTTAAACTTCTGTATCTTCTACCTGATGGAAGAGGTTATAGGAGATCATTACTGGGATTTGATGGGTCTTTGATGTTGGCAGCCTTTCCTGATTTTTCTGTCTTCATTTTTGCTTCCTACCTTATGTGTTTTATTTCTATTCTTGTTTTTCTTTTCTCTGTCTTCCTGCTGAGGTTCCCATCTGTCTACTATTCGAGTTGAAATCTGCCCAACTGCAGTAATAACCACCATGCCAAGGAAATTGGTCCTGGTCCTGTCCAGAAGCAGCACTTCCTGCTTGACCTGGTCTCTTTCTACATTCCAACCTTGTCTTCCATGTCACAATGGGGATAAAAGCATAATTCTATTTATGACTCATCATAGAATAAACAAACATTTTCAACAACCAATTGATAAACATGTCATTTAACTTTGTTATTAATGGTGGGAGAATCTGAATCTCCAGGATTCTCATGTTCTTGCCTGTTTATTACTGCTTGCTATCCCTTGGCAGTTTTGTATTCATGCTGCCACTGCACTTAAATCTTTTATGGGCTTTCATTTTGCAAACAAATTCATGGATATTTTGATGATGTGAGGTGTATGGCAGCATCCTGGAAGTAGGAGGAGGGAGAGGATAAGTGACTGGGGTGAGGATGCTCTGTTGGAGCTTGAGCTGGACCCTCAGTGTTGACGTGTTATTTTTTCCTACCATGCATCATGGTAAGTTATTCCACCTTTGTTGCGAGGAGTAGAATTTGGAAATGCTGGCTCTGCATGGAATGAGGTGGTATAATTTCAAAACTAATCCACGAGAGCACGATTTCAGTGAAACAGACTCCCTAGGGCAACAGTAGAACTAGTTAGTATTGATTCATTCAAATGCATGTTAAGTTTCTTCCAGTAATCATTGTGGCCACAATTGTTGCGATGGAGGTTCACTTGCTGCACATGTAGTTGCAGAGCCTAATGTGAGCAGCGGCAATATTCTTGTATCAGCTGGATGACCAGAGAAATTGTGGTTTTGGTCAAGAAAAAGAAGGAAGCATATGTCAGATATAAACAGCAGAGATCAAGTGAATCCTTAGAGTATAAAGGCAGTAGGAGAAAAGAGAAATCATGAGAGCAAGAAGGGGACATGAGATAGCCTTAGCAATTAGGGTTAAGGAGAATCCAAAGGGATTTTATAAATACACTAATGACAAGAAGGTAACAAGGGAGAGAATAGGGCCCTTTAAAGATCAGCAGGGCTGCTTGTGTGAAACCACAGGAGATGGGGGTGGCATGGTGGCTCAGTGGTTAGCACTGCTGCCTCACAGCGCCAGGGGCCCAAGTTCAATTCCACCCTCGGGCGACTGTCCGTGTGGAGTTTCCACATTCTCTCCGTGTCTGCATGGGTTTCCTCCGGGTGCTCCGGTTTCCTCCCACAGTCCAAAGATGCGCAAGTTAGGTGAATTGGCCATGCTAAATTGCCCGTAGTAGGTGGGTTATAGGGGATTGGGTCTGGGTGGGATGCTCCAATTGTCGGTGTGGACTTGTTGGGCCGAAGGGCCTGTTTCCACACTGTAGGGATTCTATGATTCTATGGGGGAGATATTAAATGAGTATCAGTGTTTACTGTGGAGAAGGATATGGAAGATGGAGAACGTGGGGAAATAGATAGCAACATATTGAAAAATCTCCATATTGCAGAGGAGGTGGTGCTGGGATGGCTTAAAATGCATAAAGGTGGATAAAACCCCGGGACCTGGTCTCTAAAACTGTGTGGGAAGCTAGGGAAGTGATTGCTGGGCCTCTTGCTGAGATATTTGTATCATTGATAGCCACAGGTGAGGTGCCAGAAGACTGGGGTTGGCTATTGTGGTGCCACTGTTTAATAAAGGTGATAAGGAAATGCCAGGGAACTATAGACCAGTGAGCTTGACATCCATGATGGGCTAGTTGTTGGAGAGAATCCTGAGAGACAGAATTTACATGTATTTGGAAAGGCAAGGACTGATTAGGGATAGTCAACATGGATTTGTGTGTGGGAAATTGTCTGATCTAACTTGATTGAGTTTATTTGTAGTAGTAACAAAGAGGATTGATGAGGGCAGAGCGGTGGACGTGATCTATATAGACTTAAGTAAGGTGTTTCATGAGGCTCCTCATTGTAGACTGGTTGACAAGGTTAAATCACGCAGAATACAGGGAGAACTAGCCATTTGGATACAGAACTGGCTCGAAGGTAGAACATAGAGGGTGGTGGTGGTGGAGGGTTGCTTTTCAGACTGGACGCTTATGACTAGTGGTGAGCCACAAGGATCGGTGCTGGGTCCACTGCTTTTCATCATTTTATATAAATGATTTGGATGTGAATGTAGGAGATATCATTAGTAAATTTGCAGATGATACCAAAATTGGAGGTGTAGTGGACAGCAAATAAGGTTACCTCTGTGTGAGGTGGGATCTTGATCAGATGGGTCAGTAGGCTGAGGAGTGGCACATGGAGTTTAACTTAGATAAAATGTGAGGTGCTGCATTTTGGGAAAGCAAATCAGGGCAGGACTTAGACACTTAATGGTAAGATCCTGGGGAGTGTTGCTAAACAAAGAGACCTCGGAGTGCAGGTTCATAGTTCCTTGAAAGTGAAAGTGAAGTTGCAGGGAGATAGGATAGTGAAGAAGGCGTTTGGTATGCTTTCCTTTATTGGCCAGTGTATTGAGTGTAGGAGTTTGTAGGTCATGTTGCAGCTGTACAGGACATTGGTTTGGCGATTTTGGAATACTGTATGTAATTCTGGTCTCCCTGCTATAGGAAGGATGTTGTGAAACTTGAATGGGTTCAGAAAAAATTTACAAGGACATTGCCAGGGTATCAAGGTTTGAGCTATAGCGGGTAGTTGAATAGACTGGGGCTATTTTCCCTGGAACATCGGAGGCTGAGGGATGACGTTATAGAGGTTTATAAAATCACAAGGGGCATGGATAGGGCAAATAGGCAAGGTTATTTCCAGGAGTGGAGGATTCCAAAACCAGAGGGCATAAGTTTAAGGTGAGAGGGGAAAGATTTAAAAGGGACCTAAGGGGGAACTTTTTCATGCAGAATGTGGTGCATGTATGGAATGAGCTGCAGGAGGAAGTGGCGGAGACTGGTACAATTACAACATTTAAAAGGCATCTGGTTGGTATATGAATAGGAAAGGTTTAGAGGGATATGGCCAAATGCTGGCAAATGAAGTAGATTTATCTCGGACATCTGGTTGGCCTTGGTGAGTTTGATCAAAGGTTCTGTTTCCATGCTGTACATCTCTATGACCCTATGATTGGCGGAGTGGTAGGAGGAGAACTGGTTGGGCTTGATCTATTTCTGTCAAGCACATCCTTTGTTTCCAAGCAGTTTATCATATTTCTGGGCCCTGACCTTTTTGCACTATTTACACATTTTGTCTTGTATCTTTTATTTTTAATCACAATTCCCTCTATTGTTACCTGTTACTGTCACTTAAACCTTTAACCACCTTCTTTCTTTGTCTAAGCACTTTACAAGTCATTCTGTTTTCTTTGCTATCTTTTGTACTATACTTCCACCTTTCCTATTCACCTTTGTTTTATCCATTTTTTTTATCCGAGTTTCCGTAATATCTCCCGTTCTTCAGATTGACTTTTTGTGAGTGCACTGTGCAGTTGCTCATTTTTACAGGTATTGTCTGACCTCCTGGGTGTTTTTGTTTGATTTCCATCACCTCTGAAGCTTTTTTTTTGTTTTTTATGTCTATCCCAATTGAAACCTGCAATCACCACAAAGCATTGATTTGATTGTTTAGCCCTTCCTGCATGGCACACGCGTTGTCTCATCTGAGTGAAATAGCAACCTAGCACTGTGAATGAGAGAGCTCATCTTCCAGAAACGTTTGAGTGCCTGTGATATAGTTCGAGCAAATGACTTGTTTTAAAATAAACTACTGGTCTTTACAAAATCCGTTTGTGTTAACATGAGTGGCAGGACCTGAAGGGAGGAGGTAATAAGATCAGGGAACACTTAGAATATATTGTTCATTTGAATCTTGCCCCTTAGCTTTTCTAGCTGTATAAAGAGAATGTAAGGAGATGAGATTTAAGAAAAGGCGTTTCATACCTATTTTACAGGATTAAAGGTACTCGTACATTCTCAAGTATACTCTAGCTTTATTTGCTGTAATTGTAGGTCCTGGTTCGTGTCAGTAAATGTAGGTTTCATCTGCTCAGCCGTCTACTACTGAAGTGCTGGAATGTTAAATAAATAATTGTTCATTTTTTTTGTACTGATCTACAGAAGACAGGGAAGAACTTAAGTGACATAAAGGTCAGAGCATCTCCCAGAACCAATTTAAAATCTTGCTTGCGCAGCATTATACAGTGCCTTTCATTTCTTTCACTGACAAATATATTTGCTCCACTGTGTTTATAGTTCTTTGCATGTTATTTACCTTCGCATTATAATTCTAACTTTTATTTCCAGTGGACAATTTGCAATAGTGAAAAAATGCACAGAGAAAAGCTCTGGAATGGGATATGCAGCGAAGTTTATCAAAAAACGCCGCTCAAAGTCAAGCCGTCGAGGAGTAAGCCGTGAAGATATCGAGAGAGAAGTCAATATCTTAAAGGAGATTCAGCATCCAAACATCATAACTCTACACGATGTTTATGAGAACAAAAGTGATGTGATCCTTATTCTTGAACTGTAAGTGCATCTTCGCATCTTTAAGTTGTCTGGCCTTTAGTGTGAAAGTGTGCTGAAAATCATTTTTCACTTGTGTGGGCTAGTGCATTTTCCATGCGCTGTGGATCATAATTCATCTGAGCTAATTGATGTAAACATGTGCAGGTGTGTGTTGAAGGAGCCTGTTCCTTTTACCTCCATGAGAACAAGAGACAGTAAATTTGAAGCATTGGTCACACTCTGTTTGGCATGTTTCTTTGATGTACATTAAGTAGGTTAGTTGTGATATTGCAAATGAAAGTTCAGCAATTTTCATTTGGCTTTAGTCCACTTTGTAAGCAAGCTATAAACGTTATTTTCAGTGCTTTTATCTTTTCAATGGAAGATGATTAGAACCTCCTTCAGAAACCACTGTAAACAAAATTAACTTTAGACCACAAAAGTAATCAATAACATTCAATAGTACATGTCTGTATTGTGAGCATCTGCCAGAAACAATTTCCTTTTCTTTTGTTGAATCAGTAAAAGGAAATGGATTATAAACAACTGAAATAAAGTTGGTTACCTTTTATAGAGAACCTGATTTTTCTGTTTACTCACAATAAAGGTAGAATCTTATTTGACATTTTTCTTTCTTTTTAAGAACTAGCCATTTGGATGCAAAATTAGTTTGAATGTTGTAGGTAGAGAGTGGAGGGTTGCCTTCTGGACTGGAGTACTGTGACCAGTGGTGGGATTGCTGCTGGGTCCGCTGCATTTTGTCATTTTATATAATAAATGATTTTCATGTGAACATAGGAGATATGGTTAGTAAGTTTGCAGATGACAGCAAGATTGGTGGAATAGTGGACATTGAAGAAGGTTACCTCAGAGTACAAAGGAATCTTGATCAAATGGGCTGAGGACTGGCAGGTGGTGTTTAATTTAGATAAATGTGAAGTGCTGCATTTTTGGTAGGTCAACTCAGGGCAGGACTTATACACTTAATGGTAAGGTTCTGAGGAGCGTTGATGAACAAAGAGACCTGGGGTTACAGATTCATAGTTCCTTGAAAGTGGAGTCACAGCTGACAAGACAGTGAAACGGGTGTTTGGTACACTTGCCTTTAATGGTCAGTGCATTGAGTATAGCAGTTGGGAGGTCATGTTGTGGCTGTACAGGACATTGGTTAGGCCACTTTTGGAATACTACCTTCAATTCTGGATTCCCTGCTATAGGAGAGATGTTGTGAAACTTGAAAGGGTTCAAAAAAGTATTTCGAGGATGTTGCTAGTGTTGGAGGGTTTGGGCCATTCGGAGAAGCTGTATAGGCTGGGGCTATTTCCCCTGAAGCGTTGGAGGCTGAAGGGTGACCTTTATAGCGGTTTAGAAAATCATGAGGGGCATGGATAGGGTAAATAGCCAAGGTCTTTTTCCCAGTATAGGTGAGTCCAAAACTAGAGGGCATAGGTTTTAAGGTGAGAGGGGAAAGATATAAAAGGGACCTAAAGGACAACATTTTCATGCATAGGGTGGTGTGTGTATGGAATAAGATGCCAGAGAAAGTGGTCGAGGCTGGTACAATTACAACATTTATAAGGCGTCTCGATGAAACATGCATAGGAAGGGATTTAGGATATCTGGTTGGCATGGATGAGTTGGTCCAAAGGGTCTGTTTCCATGCTGCAGATTTCTCTGACTCTAAGGCATTTAGTGTCATATAGATGTACTCTGCCATTCTACTGTTTTTATTCAGTACTGTGAAGTTTTCATTTCTCTATTAATCTATAGCATACAGCCAAAGTGATGTGAGGAAAAACATTTTCAATTAACGCATGTTTAAGGTCAAAGTACTCTCAGGTCAGCCTGAGAGTCTAGTGGAGGCAGGCTCATTTGAAGCATTCTGAAAGGAATTAGATGGCTAGTTGAAAATGAAAAATGTATCCTGTTATGGGGAGAAGGCAGGAGCATGATGCCAAGTGAGATGCCCATTTGGAGAACCAGCACAGACAGACTGGGCCAGATGGTCTTCTGCGCTGTAGCAATTCTGCAATTCAGTTTGCAGATTACTGAAATACAAGGGACCTAAGGGGCAACTTTTTCACACAGAAGGTGGTGCTTGTCTGGAATGACCTGCCAGAGGAAGTGGTGGGGCCTGATACAATTACAACATTTAAAAGACATCTGGATGGGTATATGAATAGGAAAGGTTTAGAGGGATAAGGGCCAAATCCTGGCAATCGGACTAGATTAATTTAGGTTATCTGGTCAGAATGGACAAGTTGGACCAAAGTATCTGTTTCTGTGCTGTATATCTCTGATTCTGAGTGAGTGAACCCAGCAGAGCACATTACAGGTTTAGAAGGCATTTCATTTTTTGGGCTGTTGACATGGTCTTGTCATTGCGAATTGTACAAAGGGCCAAGAGGAGATATAAATGTTCAACCACATTGATCAGTGTTTCAGTGAGACTGTTACTCACCTGAGCATAGAAACAATTGCATGTATCTTTGAAGAAAAGCAGATAATTTACATAAATAACAATAAACAAGCAAGAAGAAAAGCAGCAAATCTAGGTAAAGTGCATTATGTAATTTACATGACCTGCTTCAAAACACTAAACTCACTACAACAATTATTCCTTATAAATATGGTACGTGATGAATTCTTGAAACATGTTTAACTCTCATGGAGTGCATGTTAATTCCCAGCATGAATAGGTAAACAGAAATTTATATGACCAGACTGCTGATGTCTTGTTCTTCCCTTAGAAATAAGTGTAGAGGTAAATTTGCAAGAAAATTGAGTGGGGAAACAATATGTAATCAATCAAACAAATTAAATCCAGAGAACATTTATGATTTATCCCCTTAGACTTTATTCAACACTGCATTTCTCCCAATTTTAGAAAATACTTAGTTCCTTTAGCTTGGTCCAAAAAATATCAAACGGTATGGTTAATATGTCCATGACCTTCAATTCCACATGAACAGTTGCCAATACTGTTTCTTTACAGGGAGTCAATTGTTACTAAACTATCTTTACATGAGTTTGCACCTTTTGTTTCCTCAGTCCTTCTATGTGAAAGTACTTAGGCATTTCCTCTTGCGTTTAGAGAGTGGGAACTGCCGATGCTGGAGACTCAGAGATAACAAGGTGTAGAGCTGGATGAACACTGCAGGCCGAGCAGCATCAGAGGAGCAGGAA